GTTTCCAGAAAGTTCTTTCCCTCATTGTACCATCAGCATCATTAAGATGGAAAATCAAAAGTTGTCCCCAGGAACAGCTGCTAGAGCCCTAATGATCCCAATTGGAAATTTCCTAATTGTTTTCCCAAGCCATTATACTGACGAATTATGAGCATAAAAGACAACTTTGTGAGTGATGTGTTCCGCATGTATCAGAATACTCATAAAGGTAATTCCTTAAAGTACTAGAACTTCTATGGGAATTTGTACTCAAATATTCATGTTCATTTCTAAGAATGTTTTTAAAACTTCATTTTTAATTTAACATTTTAAAACTTCATTTACAAACATTTTTAACATTTTCATTTAAAAACTTCACTTAGAAACAGTTTTAATTGGCTTATGAATTCTACCGAGTGTCTCCTTTTAGGATTCTATATATTACTTGCTTGGAATCTATCCAATGTTGAATAAATTTTTTATCTTAATTTTTGGCTAATAAGCAATAATCTTAAACTTGAGAGGGAGCCTTAGGAAAGTTTTTGGACCAGCATGTTTCCGAAGATATAAGACAGCCATCCGACGGGCATTGCTTGATTAATTTAGGATGAGGCAGAGCTCGTGGGGAGGGGTGGGGGGGGGTTGAAAGATTAGAAGAACTGATGTGACTATTTCAAATTACTAACACTCTCAGTTTCGAAAATAAATAGGTTGTGTGTTTTTTAAACAATGGATCAATGGATTAACATCTAAACTAATTTGAGAGAAGAAAGGAACTTTTGCAAATCACCCCTCTTCCCATAGTTCTGTTGTTAAGTAGTTTGTCAAAACGAGGGTACCCAAAGCAAGAGCTAATGAACCATGAATGATAAAAATATGGGGAACAGATCCCATCAGGCAAATGAAGAGTCTGAAAGTCCAGAAAGAGTAGTAGAATGCCATAGTTGGGGTACTCCTATTTGATAGATAAATAGCTTAGTTGCCCATCAGCAGATGAGTGGATTAAAAAAACTGGTACATATACACAATGTAATACTACACTTCTATAAAAAAAGAAAGAACTCTTACCATTTGCAAGGGCATGGATGAACCTGGAGAGCATTATGCTAAGCGAAATAAGCCAGTCGGAGAAAGGTAAGTATCATACGATCTCACTCATTTGTGGAATATAACGAACAATATAAACTGATGAACAAAAATAGATCCAGAGACATAGAATCATTGAACAGAGGGGCAAACCTCCAAGGGAAGGGAGGGGAGGTTGAATGGGAATAGGGTGGGGTGGGTGATAGAGGGGGGTTAGAGATCAACCAAAGAACTTGTGTACATATAAGCATAACCAATGGACACAGACCCTGGGGCGGTTGGGGCTTGTCTGGGTGGGAACAACTTGGGGAGGTCAATTGGGGGAAAGAGGACACATATGTAAAACTTTAGACATAAATAAATAAACAAACAAACAAACAAATAAATAAATGGTTATGCAATACAAAAAAAAATTGACCTCACCATCACCTGCCTTTTTGCAATGTATTACTTGAATCACTAAACTTTTATTCATGATAGGAAACACTATAAAAAGGGAGACTTTTCTAAACTGTTATACAATTAACAAACTTCACATTAAAGAATACAGTAATATTATAAATTTATGAGAAGAAAAAGCCCTTAAAAGACTGTTCAGTATCAAAAGATATGCTGAGTGACAAAGAAGAAAATTATTAATAAGATTACATTATGTTCACTTCAGCATACACAAAAAAAACCCCTCATAGTTAAACTTCCTTCTTTCTCTCATCTCTGAAGAAAGAAAATTTAATATATTCAACTGCATTTTGTTTTGTGTGCTGAAGATTATAAACTTAAGGCAAAAGGTATTTTAAAGAGGAAAAGTTTGTATATGCATTTTAAAATTAATTCAATGCTTTTATTTATTTTACAATAAAATGTTTCATTGAACTTATTGGGATGACATTGGTTAACAAAATTATATGGGTTTCAGGTGTACAATAATAGGGTACATCATCTGTTTTGTGTGTTCACCACCCCAAGTCAAGTCTCCTGTCATCATGTATCCCCCAATTAGGCTCTTCTACCTCCTTGCACGCCCTTTTCCCTCTGGCAATCACCTTACTATTGTCTGTGTCTATGAGGTTGTTTTTGTTTTTGTTTTTGTTTAATCCCTTCACCCTTGTCATCCAGCCCCTCAACACCCCATCCCTCTGACAGCCGCTAGTCTGTCTTCAGTTTCTATGAGTTTGTTTCCATTTTGTTTGCTTATTTTGTTCATTGGATTCAGTAGATTATTTTCATGTAGAATAACTAAAAGGAGACAAGAAAGTGGAATTTAAGCAAAATAGGTGTAATTAGATTTTACCTGCTTTTTGGAGGAGAAGTGAAATGGAGTGTGTAATTTCAGCAGGCCTAGGGCATGGACATCTTAAAATGTATGCATATGAGCGTTGAGAAAATTTTTAAATTATTAAGTCACTACTTTAAAACACTTCCCAAGAATTGAATTCTCATGCTGGGCATCAAACTTTATTTTAAATAGATAACAAAGAAAATAGTGCTTTTCATAAAAGGCAAGGTGATTAATGCCTGAATTTGTAAAGGAAACACAAGGGATTTTTACTGCTTGTTCTGGCATACATACACTGTGGTCTAGCATGAGCCTCTGAGCTTTGCTCTGCATCTCTGTTCCTTTATCTATGATAGGAGGGTATTAAATTAGATTAAAAGAAAGGTCTAAGGGCCAACTTTCTTTGGACACTTTTATTTCATAAAATAAAAGCCAAGTGGCTTGAGGAAACTTTTACCTTTATTTGAGAATTTACGTATAATACTATTTAAATTAATAAATAGTTTCCATTTAGGCAAGTGGGCACAATGACACGTGTAGGGTGTGTGTGTGTGTGTGTGTGTGTGTGTATGTATGTAAATAACCACTTTATACATCCAGTTATTCCGACCAAACCCTTGGAGTCATCCATGATTGGCCCCTTTGTTTGCCTCATCCCCACAATCAATTCTTTAAGAATCATGGCAGCTCTACCTTCAAAGCAAATCTCACATCTGACCACTCCTGACTGCTACCACTGCCAAAGTCATCTTTCTACTTTTATTTTTCTTACAGATCCTTGGTCTGTTCTCCACAGAGCAGCCTTAGCTAACCTTGGAAAACCAGATCAAAGTATGTCATTCTCCTGCTCTGAACTCTCCAATGGCTTACCCTGTCACACTCAAAATATAAAATCCAAACTCCTTTCCAAGGCCGGACAGTTTCACATAATTTTACCCTTTCCTTTCTCTCTGACTCTCCCTCATTCTGCTCTGGCCACCCCACAACACTCGTTTTCATTCTGTCTCTATCCTGTCTCTGCTAATGCCAAGCATCATACCATCAGAGATGTTGTCCTTGACAACCTTACCAAAAATAGCCACCAGCTACCTACTCAGAGCCCATCTTCTTCCTGCTTTTTCTTTTCATAACACTTGTCATTACCTCCCCTTATATACTTATGGTTGCTTTCTTCCCATGAATTTCAAATATTACTATATTCTTTTGTAAAGTTAAATAATTGTGTGACAGCTTAGAAAGCCTACCTATTTACAATGTTTTCTAACATGATAAAGGTTTAATAGTGCCAATGAGAGCTTAAAGTAGGTAATAGGTGTCAGTTTTATTTCATCTTCAAATTGGCAGTGGTGGTGGTGAGGTTGGCTTGAAAATCTTAATTATCTGTCTGTCCTCACTAGAATGCAACTTGCATGGACATGGACATTTTCTGCCTTGTTTGCTGCTTTACCCCCCGCTGTTTTATATCAGTGTCCAGCATGAAGAAAATGCTTAATAAGTATTAGCAGAAGTAATTAATTAATAAGTGACTATATATGTATAATTCATAAAATCCTATATACTATAAGGCTATAATGCAAATTGACTGGCACTGACCACCAGGGGGCAGACGCTCAATGTTGGAGCTGCCCCCTGGTGATCAGTGCGCTCCCACAGGGGGAGTGCTGCTCAGCCAGAAGCCAGGCTCATGGCTGGCATGTGCTGAGGAACCTCCCCCGCCCCTGACACCCCCCCCCCCCCGCCAGTGCATGAATTTCGTGCACTGGGCCTCTAATATATATTTCACATATGCATTGACCCTAGGGCAGCTGGAAAACCTGGATTTATCCTCTGAACACATCCATTTATTCATGTTTCGTTCCATATAAACATTTCCTAGTTTTATGTGATATGAAATGGCCTCTTCATAGGTACAGAAACCATTAAAACACGGTGGCAAGAGCTCTGTCATGGGAAATATGCACTTGGATCTATGGGAACATACATGGCAAATGCATAACCCAGATTACTGGTGTACAAAGAAGAGATGAGGTCAGGGAATCCTCTGAGAGGAGATGGTGAACTCAGTGAGCCAGGTGAGGCAAAGTGGGAAGCAAATTCTCGCATCTGAGAGAGAAAGCAGACAAGTTGACAATCCAGTCAGTCAGCTTGGTAGTGATGTCTCTCCCTAAACCAAGAGTACATGAAGAAAAACAAGTTAGACGGGAAAGATAAGGAGTTTAATTTTTATCATTTTTTCCCTTCTTTTGCACAATGAATCAGTTAGTGGTATAATTGATCCATGTTCTAACCAGTGAATGAAACCCAACAAAAATACTTCTTAGTTCTTCATGTGGTAGGTCCATGAGTCATCCATCTTGTAACCTCTGTGGCTTGGCACAATGCCTACTACATAATTGCTTAATTCCTTTCATTTTATTATATTTAATATTCTGATATATGCATTTACATAGGCATTTTAATAAAGTTTTGATTAATTCCAGGTTGATAACTCAATACTACTAGTACTTTTCTCTCCATCTCTTTAGAGGCCTCTGATAACATTCTGAACTTCTTGAGTTTCTTTACATTTCCCACATATTTTTACCTCCATGTCAACAAGTAACTTCTTTGCATAGCATATGATCCATAAGTAGATTTTTAATAAAAATATTTATCCTCTGTGCTTTCTCTGGCAGCGCATAGACTAAAATTGGAACAATACAGAGATTAGCATGGCTTCTGCACAAAGATGGTATGTAAATTTATGAAGCATGTTTTATACTTTATTAAAAGCATAAAACTAAAAAGCTTTTGTACTGCATCAACAAAATAAAAACAGAACCTACTGGAGGGGAGAAGATATTTATAAATGATATCTCTGGTAAGGGGTTAATATCTAAAGTATATAAAGAATTCATATAATTCCACATAAAATAATCTGGTTAAAAAAATGGGCAGAGGACCCAAATAGATATTTCTCCAAAGAAGCCATATAGATGGCCAACAGACATAAGAAAAGATGCTTAATGCCACTAAACATCAGGGAAATGCAAACCAAAACCACAGAGATACCACTTCACACCTATTAGAAGGTTATTATCTAAAAGTCAACAAATAACAAATGTTGGCAAGAAGGTGGAGAAAAGGGAATCCTTGTGCATGTTGGTGGGATTGTAAAGTGATTCAGTATGGAGGTTCCTTGGAAAATTAAAAATAGAGCTACCATATAACACAGAAATTCTGTGTTTGGGTACTTATCTGAAGACAACAAAAGCACTAATTCAAAAAGATATATGCACTCCTATGTTCATTGCAGTTATCTACAATACCCAGGATGTTGTAAGTGTCCATCCATAGATGAATGAATACAAATTATGCAGCAATAAAAAAGAGTGAAATCTTGCCATTTGTATCAATATGGTTGGACTTAGAGGGTATCATGCTAAGCAAAGTAAGTCCAACAGAGAAAGAAAAATACAGCATGATTTCACTAACATGTAAACTCTAAAATGTGCAATAAATGAACAAAACAAAACAGAAACAAACTCATTACAGAGAACAAATTGATAGCTGCCAGAAAGGATGGAGGAGGGAGGATGGGGGGGAAAGGAGAAGGGGATTAAGTTATAAAAATAGTTATGGGGATGTAAGGTATAGCACAGGTAGGTACTAGACTTATAGGGGTGATCACTTCACAAGCTATGTAAGTGTTTCATCACTATATTGTATACCTGAAACTAATATAATATTGACCTTCAGCTGTAATTAAATAAGTAAATAAGTAAAATAACCAAAGCACCCAACTTCAAAATTTAGGAGAAAACAGAATAATAACCTATCCCCAAATATATCAAACTAGAGGCCCAGTGCATGAAAATTCATGCACTGGGAGGGGGAGGGGTCCTTCAGCCTGGCCTGCCCCCTCTCACAGTCCGGGAGCTGTCAGGGGCAAGAGGCAACCCAGAGATCAGGGGAAGGAAATGCCCCATCACACCTCTGCTGCTGTCACTGTTGGCATTGCAAACCTCTACCGGCCCTGGTTACTTGAGCCTCGGACAGCTCTGAGCAGCTGGGCAGCAGCCATCCAAAGCTTGCCTGTGCCTTGGGCCAGCTCTGGGCAGCTGGGGGGCTAAGGGGACTGGGCACCACCATCTTGTGGCTGTGGGCACCGCCATCTTTGAGGGCGGGGCAGTCAGTTAGAATATTCCCTCCTTATTGGCTGTGGGTGCCGCCATCTTTGCAATGGCATGAGGGTCAATGAGCATATTCACTCTTTAGTAGATAGGATGTTACATAATTAAAATATTTAAAACATTACAATGCTTTAAAAAAGCAAATATTTCTTCTTTATTGTTTCAGCATGTGCCAAGTAGAAAGGTCTGGCTCTGGAACAAGGATCAGTAGGTGCTTTTCTGTAAAGGGCCATACAGTCTATCAAAATTACTCAACTCTGTCATTGTAACATGAAAGAACCACAGAAAATACATGAACGTATAAAAATATATGGCTGCTTCAATAAAAATTTATTTATAAAAACAGGCATCAGACTGTATTTGACCCTCAGACCAGTTTGCCAACCTTTGCTTTATACATGCATACAAATATATACATGTAAATAATTTATAGATATGTACAAGTTATAAAACTGATCTTCAGCAATTTCGAGGAAGAAAAAAGATCAAGATCACATTCTAACAAGACTGACTAAAATAAAACCTTTCCCAAACTATACTGGATTCATTTCTCTCCTATTTAACAACATCAGATTCAAAGCACACCTCATGAGAAAAGATCAGGGGATCATTTCTGTCCTTCTTCACTGCTAGTGTTTTCTGGCATTATTGACAAGCGTTCTGTTTCCAAAAGGTTGCAACCCAAATAATTCTTTTAATCTTTATTTTCATAAAACAAGTTAGTAGCTAATAAAAATGCCAATTCTCAAATCAATGTTGACATCACTGAAAGAAAAAGATAGCTTCTCAGTTATATGATCTTATTAGTTTTTAAAGAAACCCAAATCTAATATTGTCTGTGAAGTTGCCCGCTAACCAGAGAGACAGGATTGAGTCACTTGGATCTCTCTCTCTCTCTCTCTCTCTCTCTCTCTCTCTCTCTCTCTCTCTCTCTCTTTCTCCTATAAAAAGGAGTTTAATGTTCTGGTCAGGAACCACTGAAACTTGGTATTGATTTTCCGTGCTCAATTTCTCTCCCAAGTGTTGGTCTTTCACTTAAATATAATTTCATTGCTATCAGGAAGCTTGGGTAACATGAAATGAACAGCAGGAAACTAAGGTCTGTAAATGGATTCGACTTCTTACTTTCATTAGCTAGCCTGGCCAGGCTGGTTTCTTCACTTAGCACATGGTGCTTCACCCTCTCCCAGAGCCTTATCCTTTTGATCATTTCCAGTGCTTAAAAGGATTGAAAATTACCTCTCATAGCAAATAATTAGCTCAATATCCATGGGCAAATTGATGAAATTTCCGATATTGCTTTTCAGTTTTTAAGTCTCCTCTCGACTTAAGCATTTTATTTGTTGATAATTGATGCTCTTTCCAATTATTGCCAGAAACTAATTGGTTCAATGACGATTCAATCCCCTGGGTTTTTTTGTGTGTGTGTGTGTGAAGGCAACTCAAGCAATGACACTCTTGATCACATTTCTTCTACACAAAGGTTAGAATTAGATTGAACATTGTAAGGAAGGTCCTCATAGGAGAGTGGTTTTAGAAAAGAGACAGAAAAATATCAGAACAGGAAACCAGACTTGCCCACCTACTTCTGGATTTTCAACATCACTTTATTCATTTTTTGTTAGTAATAGATGTGAACCCCTGGGTCATTGTACAAGCCAATATTTAAGTAAGGATGCAAAAAACAAAAAACAAAAACAAAAAACAAAAAACAACAAAACAAAAACAAAAAAACCCTAATCTGAATAACCACTGCTCTAAAATAAGCAAACAAATACCCTGGTTTTGGAAGGGGATATATACTATGGTAGTAAGCCCTTAACAAGGCCATTTTTAAACAAAACCAAAAGAAGTTTATGAAAGCAAAAGACAGGGTGTCCCAAAAAATATACATACTCTTTAAATAGTTATTAATTCTAATGGGTTAAATCTGAGCTATCATCTGTTCAAGGTGTATACATTTTTTTTTTTTTTTGGAACAGCCTATGGATACAAAAAAAAAAAAAAAAAGAACTTGCTTAAAAATAAAATAAAATAAATGGTACAATGCCAGCATACCCAACAATACATGTTGTTTTCTAATTTTTTAAATACAAAATACAGGCAAAGGACACGTACTTAAAACAACCCTCAGGAGCAGACACCCAGTCCTGGAAACCCTTCAATACCTAATTTTTACATATCATAGCCACTGTATGTATCTGCATAGACAAATAAAAACAAATGTTCCAATCACTCCCCCCCCCCTCCCCGCCGCCCCCAATATCTGTTGGTAACCACTTTGGTTAAACTGGGTTGAGAAAATTAAAGCATCACAAGAAACAGACATTGGGCAAAAAACTGAGTGTTTGCTGATTTTAGAGCAATGGCTCTCCACTGTGATTTTGCCCACAGGGTACATTTGACAACATCTGGAGACATTTTTGGTTGTCAAACCTGTGAGGGTTCTGGAATGGAGCATCTAGTGGGCAGAGGCCAGAGATGTTGCTGAACATCTTACAATGCACAGGGCAGTTCTTTCTCTTTCTCTCTCTCTCTCTCTCTCTCTCTCTCTCTCTCTCTCTCTCTCTCTCTTATACAGACATACAGACATGCATACACACACACATTATTCTGCCCCAAATGTCAATAGGTCAATAGTGTCAGTGTGAAGAAAGCCTGTTTTAGGTCAGGTCCAGTGCTGTTGTCTTAGGGCATCTCTGAAATCCAAAATCATCCCAGAAACTGAAGTTTTCTGATCACTTTCCATCAACCAACATAGAATCCATGGCTTCTCACGACAGTATAGTCCTACTAACTTTATATTCACACCAAGGTGTGAACTCCATGGGGTGTGAATCAAAGTTAGTATATTCAACATAGCCTCCTGAATTCTCACTACAGTGTATTCCTACTGACTTTGTGCAATGGGGTGGAAGGGGAAACTCTTTCCCCTCCTCACTCAGTATTAAGAGGTCTATACACATTGGTGTCCTAAGATCCATCTACATGGATGCCTGGTGTTGACATGCAGCATTAATCATTGAATCTCATAGAGAAGCGCATCAGTGTCCAACCAAATCTTCCTCTTTGTTTTGTTTTACATAAAGCCTTTCTTTAAGAGCTCTTGTAAAAGCAATCCGATGAGATGTTACAAGGTGTGCCAAATCCAATTACTTTCTGCATTCTTGTCCATTATTTGGAAAAAACAATCCTTCCTAAGTCACTAAGGTCATTCAGAAAACATGCCAAGGTGACCACATTAAAGGAAGTGGAATCTTAATGAAGGTCTTAACACCCACAAAGTACTAATGAGAGGGCAGGGTTGGCCTCTTCGTTGAGAGTCTCGAGCGTGCCCAGAATGATAACAGACATTCTTTATCCCCAGGCAAATGGCTCTCTGACAATAATAGAGACGATCCACTAATGCCTGATTCAAATGCTTTGTCATAGAATGAATCAGCAGAACGGTTAATAAGAATCGCAGTAATACACAACACGAACAGTACTGGTTTTCAATGTGCCTGTTTGCAATGCGACAGTTTTATTCTGGCTCAGAAGCTAATAATGTGGTCCACTGTGGCGATGTTTTCTACCTCTCACCAATCAAAG